ATAGGCGAGCTCACTGGCAATATACATAGTCTACATCCATTATGGATACTTATAAAAAGCAGGTGAAGAGGCTAGTTTACATCATCATAGGACATACTTACTAAACCACCTTACCAAGAATTCAGACGTTTTCTTGCATTATCATGGGTTAAACATACAAAGCACTTTAAAAACTAAGTGTGTGTGTGTGTGTGTGTGTGTGTATGTATGTATGTGTGTGTGTATATATATATATATACATACATACACACACACACACACACACACACACACACACACACACACACACACACACACTTAGTTTTTATATATATATACACAGAGAGAAAGATAAACAAATAGACAGTAACGGTAAATTGAATTTTTCCCTTATCTCTATCCGTCAACCATGATTGTACATATTTTTGAAGATCAAGTATACTGTACAAGTTACTTAGCCCTTTTGTGACAAATTGATGCTGTTGATCGGACACTGACCATCATGTACTAATAAGTGGGGGCGCAAACCACGATCTTTTAGCAGTTTTTTGGCTGCAGGACCTGGTGCGGTTACTTCTTCTTCAGATATCATAAAGCCAAATCTTTGCAGCTTCCGGACAAAGTGATCGCGTGTAGCCTGTGACTCGTTGGTGCAGAAACGCAGCTTCAACCCAGATCCCCTTATCCTGTATTATAAAGAGACATTAAAGTAGAGACAAAAGCTACTATTAATGCTAGAACAATAGGAAACATAGTACACAGCTTTGCAAAACTTGTTATACTGAATCGTACGTTTTGTATTATGGCATACGGTATTATGTTTATCCCCTCGGTGCCTCTGGCCTCAATAATTTAAGGTTAAATACAGCTCTGCGGTTTGTCTCTGCCCAACAGAAAGATGAAAATTATTCATAGCACTTACAGTGTAATTGCCCTTCATAACATAAGCTTTTCTCTTTTTAAATGAGTCATTTGGATAAAGAGATAAAGTGGTCCCCAATTTACTCCACTAATATGCCAGCGGTGCGTGGCACATACAGAGGGTAATGATGCAGGTGAGCGAAGCAGCCAAGGGACCAATTATTTCTAATAAATTACTATGCGACCTTCTCAGAACAGTGAGCAGCGGGTGTGACAGGAGAAAGGGACGGACACACAACATCTGTTCTTTCATGTACCAACAAACTCACCCAACAAGTGCCATAGCTCTGAGCCAAGTCAGATACAAATGGGCCATCACCCAGTATACTGCAAATACACTTAGTGGAGTATGGAAACAAAATGCCATGTTACACACGAACAACTAGATGCTATTCTGAGATGAACTGCAAAATAAGGAGCAATCACTATAGGCACCAATACTCAGTATAAGAAAACCCATTTTATCCCCAAAATATCAGCCAATGTAAATATATTTTTTGCATTTTTTTTGTTTTAGATTCCTTTCAAAAAATAAGAAAAATACCTTTTTTTTAATAGGTTTGCTGCCTGAGTGTCAAGATGAACTATAACCCAACACGCAGAACGTAGGTTAACTATACCAAAGCTGATAGGAAATGACACTACAGGAACCTGGACCACTTAAGCTTATTGAAGTGGTCTGGGTACAGTCCCCCACGTTCTCCATGAAGACATCCATTGTCAGTAAAATTCCCATAGGAAAGCATTGAAGCAAAAAACATTGTCATTTATGAGACACTGCAATGCTTGTATTAAAGGAACACTATAGTCACCAAAAAAACTTTAACTTAACAAAGCAGTTTTGGTGTATAGATCATACCTCTGAACTCTGTCTGCCATTTAGGAGTTAGATCACTTTTGTTTCTATTTATGCAGTCCTAGCCAACCTCCCCTGGCTGTGCCTGACACAGCCTGCATTAAAACAAATAGTTTCAATGTCAATCAGACATCACTTACTTTAAATGTTTTTATTTCCTGCTCTGTGTATTTAACTTTAATCACACATAGGAGGCTCCTGCAAGGTCTAGCAAGCTATCAACAGAGAAGGAGATAAGAAATGCTAAATTAAACAGAATTTGCAATAAAGTAGGTGTAAACATTGAATGACTCTTTACAGGGAAGTGTTTAGGGTGGCTGTGTGAGTCACATGCAGGGAGGTGTGACAAGGGCTGCATAAACAAGTTATTTAACTCCTAAATGGCAGATAATTGTTCAGTGAGACTGCAGGGGCATGATATACAGACTAAAACTGCTTCACTGAGCTAAAGTTGTTTTGGTGACTACAATGTCCCTTTAACCCCTTAAGGACCAAACTTCTGGAATAAAAGGGAATCATGACATGTCACGTGTCCTTAAGGGGTTAAATAGCCATTTTGTGGCTGTCTTGCTTACAGCCACTAGATATGCATCCACTGTGATAACCAAGCCAAACTATTCTCAGAGCTAACCTCTATTTAGCGGACAGCCACTAGAGGTCTCTCATCGCCATAAACCAGTAAAGCTCAGTCCTGCAATCAAATGCTGCAGATGCAAAAAGCACTGGATTGGACGAGATGGCAGTTGATGTCAGCATGCTTGATAACACCACTGGTGGAAGAGTCCCAACGCTGGAAAAGAAGTGAGTAATTTCATCACAGGGGTATATACCCTTCTTAGGTGGTGTCAAGTGACATGAGAGCGCAGTGACAGGTTCACCGATTCCAAATTGATAAAGGCTTCCATTACAGTGTTTTGTTTTTTTTTTGTTTTTTTTATTTTGTTTCTCGGATTGCTGTGAATTCTGGTTTTCTTATTTTTAGATTTGTCTTTCATTTTCATTAATTTCTATATTCCTGACCAGGGAGACACTGACATTTTTGGTTGTTCAACTTCCTGGAGTTATTCAGGTAAGCTGGGTCACTCTTGTGTCAAGATTAACCTTGCCAAAAATGTCTGAGAGGTTGGCCTTCTACTGCCTGAAAACTGCCCTTTCTTCTAGGCTCAGCTCATGTGGATCTGCACTTCCCAATTAGCTGCTCAATTTGGGACAGGTAGGGATGGTGGAACACTCTGAGCAAACTCTCCCTCTGTGCTAATGCGGAAAGTTAACTTTCGCATTAGCCGACCCACAGCTGTGGTTATACTTGCGGTGCTTACAATGTCCTTTGAAAAGGTACTAATTTTATCAATCTTATCACGTTAAAAAAACTAACCATAATAGCCGTTGATTGTTGGATTTCTTTAAATTTTCCCAAATGTATTTGTCTACTTTTTCCAGCCCATGTGTAAAGCTGTATCATGTGTCGATGACCTTTTGAGTAAAGTAATACTATCTAATATTAGCTCTGGTACTCTCCGACATAAAGTAGCACACTCATTTTCCAATATTAACTTTCTAATGAAAAATGCTACCTCGAAGCAAACTTTAATATATATATATATGTGTAAACTTATATATTTTTTTAAATTAAAATACTGTAGATTACAGCTTGTGAGATGTGTAGCATCACAGTTTTTAATTACTGCTGATTAGGAGACAATAATTTGTGTTGATTACAGTATTTGTGTGTCTGTAAATGTGTGTGTGTGTGTGTGTGTCTATGTGAGTGTGTATGTGTCGGTCAGTGAGTGCGTGCGTCTGTCAGTGTGTGTCCAAGTAATAGTGTGTGTGTATGTCATTATTTGTCAGTGTATATGAGAGTGTGCGTCTGTCAGTGAGTGCGTGCATCTGTCAGTGTGTGTCCAAGTAATAGTGTGTGTGTATGTCATTATTTGTCAGTGTATATGAGAGTGTGCGTCTGTCAGTGAGTGCGTGCATCTGTCAGTGTGTGTCCAAGTAATAGTGTGTGTGTATGTCATTATTTGTCAGTGTATATGAGAGTGTGCGTCTGTCAGTGAGTGCGTGCATCTGTCAGTGTGTGTCCAAGTAATAGTGTGTGTGTATGTCATTATTTGTCAGTGTATATGAGAGTGTGCGTCTGTCAGTGAGTGCGTGCATCTGTCAGTGTGTGTCCAAGTAATAGTGTGTGTGTGTTATTATTTGTCAGTGTATATGAGAGTGCGTCTGTCAGTGAGTGAGCGTCTGTCAGTCAAAGTGCGGCCTTGACAGGAAGGGGTGGGGAAAATGTAAATTAGGGGGGCCTAGAAACCGTCATGCCTATGGCAGCACAAATCCTAAATACACCACTGATTAACAGGCATTATCAATAGATTGTGAAACTGCTTTGGACTAGTTTGTCATAAACCAATGCTCCTTCTGCCCCACCACAGCACATAACCTGTCTCTCGGATAAAATCGCATGCAAATATCCAGCCAACCTTGAATGGCAATGACTATGGTAGTTCACTACTCTGAGCCTATCACTACCTTGGACTATGGGTGCTGTAACATCTGTTTTTTGTCAAACTGTTCCAAAACCGTCTGACAGAAAACTTGGTATGGAACCCTTACACTGATAACACCATAAACACTATACACAGAGCTGTTTTGGTTATGCAGCTTTGAGTGCCCCTTTAAGCAACCCAAAGAGTAACCAGATTTTACTTTTATTTCAGGACATGCATTGTTTTTTTTACGACTGGCTATAAACTCTCAGTGAATTTTAATATTACAACTTTGTCAACTGTTAACTTGTTAAGCGTGCCCCTATTACACAAGAATAAAAAGCCACACTTCTGCATCTCAGTTACAAAAGGCTTTGTTTTGCCTCATTGAAATGAGGATACCACTTTCAAAGGCATTGAGTTAATCTGATCCTAATTTCACTAGACAATCATCCCCTCTGATCTTTTATGAGTCCCACAAAACATCTGTGTTGGTAAAACAATTACCTGCATAAATGCTTATGTGCCATTTAATCATTAATTGGCTGCTGACAGGAATCTGAATTGTGATCACTGCATCTGTTTTCCCTCATTAAAGGGACACAATGCTTAATCACCAACACACTTTAATTGGAGAGCTAAAAGTTAAACAGAAAGAATTGCTGGAGGAAGACAAAACTATATAAAAAAAACCACACAAAATAAAATAGTTTGCTGTCAAAAAATGAAAAGAAAAAGTTCATAGTTATGTAATAACTGTGATGTGCGTACATACATCCCAAGTGTCTCTATTAACCCCTTAAGGACCAAACTTCTGGAATTAAAGGGAATCCTGACATGTCACACATCACCCTGTACCTCGTTTTTATCTAATGTCCCTCTTTTCTAAGAGCTCCATATTGTTGGTGCCTCTGAGTGTATAACAGAGCTCCACAGCAATAATACTCACAGTAATGTGTCTTTAAACTACAATAAATGTGTTTAGAAATCAGTCTGTGTAAATAAGATACATTGTTCTTGTTCTAAATTGTATTTTACATAAATTGGTTACATAAATTGTTTTAAGTAAGTCATATAATTTTTTTCAGACCAGCCCTGCCTCTTGCCACAACCCCACTCACACCCTAACATGAATGTGTTCCTCTTTGTTCTTTTGACATGTTGGGAGGTATGTGAATTGAATCTGACAAACTTTAAAAATGTCTGCTGTGGGTGCGTGGTTTCAGCAGCAGAGCTGCAAGGATGGTTCTCTCTGAGCTTAGTACAAGTGTGGGCTGGAAAGAGTCCCTCAGATTGTCCTACCTTTGTAACCCTAGAACGAAGGGTGGGTTAAGCCTTCTTTTCCATCACTAGTTATTACGATGCCACACGTCTTTAGAATTACTTAATGGCACAATCATCACTCAAACGTTCACTGGTATATTGTTCTAAATGGAAATATCATTACTCCCAGTCCCCACCATGTGGCTCGAAACCCAAGCCACCCCACCACAGGCGAAACAGCACAATTAATTAGAGGCTACATTACACTTATGACACGCTATAACACTACCATTACAATGAATCCTGGTTCGCTGATATGCTGGTTCTTAAGCCCTGTTCCATGACAACCTTTAAATCAAAGTGAAATTGCTCAAAACGTTTGACCAAGAAACTGGTGACATCACACGCATTCCAAATGACACAAAAATCCCTTCTTTGGCATGTAGTGATTATGGAGCCTTGAAGGACACTTTGACCTTGATTTAAAACTATACGAAGCCCGTAATATAGCCCCATCTGTTGATAATGCAAAACAAATACTTTTTAATAAGGATTTGTTCTTATAAATAAACTTACATTTATTTAGAAATGGAAAAAAAAATATATATATATTTAGGTTTGATGGCCAATAATTTGCAGAAAGTAGAACAGTGATGTCCAAATAGTCTATCCACTGGTTGTAGATTAATATCCGGTCATAGAATGATGTATGTTTTAGCCCACTGTGGCATAATATTTTTTTCTTCTTCATACAATCCTTGATTTTGAAAACGGGTTTAAAAATGTCACATTTAGTATATGTCTCTATGGCTGCCCTCCTGTGGTTTATGATTACTTTATGATCTATTACAGCTCGATTTCATTAACTTTTGGAGTCTTGCTCAACCTGAATGGAGGAATGTGAGGACTTCCGATAGCAGATGCTCAGGGCTATACTGTTCTTGTTTGTTGCTATGGTCAGAAACGTTTATTATTTAGAAAACAACCCGCTGTAAATATCCAACTGATCTAAGCATTAACATGCAAGCAGACCTCCAGCTGAGCTTTAAGAAGGTTTTACTACCTTCTTTGACTAGACAGGTCTGTGTGTTTGTATTGTATACAAATAATACAGGGGGAAACAAACAAAAGACACACTTTTGATTATACTTCATGCAAAAAGACCAACAGAGCTAACCTAACTGTATACTACATATACAAAGTATATTTCTAGGTATACTCTAGACAGCTATATACTGCTATAAAACCACTCTTAAATATGATGGACCACATGCAATGAATCCTCTACCCCGTGGTATAAAATGTACATCCCACTAAGCATATGTATCTGTTCTGCCTGGTTTCAGTGCAAGGCCTGTGGTATACGCTCACCATGTGGTTGTGCCAATATCCCAGAACTTCAGGAAAAGTCAGTAGAACTATGGACTCCATGCACCTTGTGAGAGAGTGCAAGATACACATACATTGAACGATACATTCTAAGCATCATAACACGTACAGCTCATTTAAATGTGAGGTGTCTGATGGCGCAGTACCTCAAATTTGTGTCACAACCTCAGGCCCACCAAAAGTCCTGCTTTAGTTCCCTGGTAATGGACTAGCGCTGTGCAGGGGGCACTAGGACCCTCTCCCGATTCCATAGGCCAGAGTGTTGGGATGTATGCAATCTTTAAACTCTTGGACATTAATAACAGGCTTAAAGCCTTCAACTAGCTTTCCACCATCAATATCACTTCATAATTTTTGTCCAAAGCGTACGTTTATGTAGGCATATGTAAACATATATGTATATATGTGTACACTTGCATTCATACTTACTAATATTACATTTATTCACACACAAAGTCACAATGACTTGATTAGCCCCCACACTGTCCATACAGTAGTCAAGTCCTCACCCAAACAAAGAGAGCCCTAACATTGTTCTCTCTAGATCTTTGCTCTCATTAATATAAAATCCTTGGGTGTCTCCTTGCTGTCATCATTCTTCCCAGATCTTTATGGCTCTTTTATCTTCTTTTCATACCTGTCTCCGGGGCTTCTGCGTTGGACCTATCTTCAGCAAGTTCTTACTTTGCCATGTCCACATGCCCAAATTAGTCAACTTTAAGTCAGTTCTGTCACTTTTGAGATTTTCAGAAATATAGAATCTTTATAGAGTCTTGGAGTCTAATATGTACAATTTCCTTGCCAATTCTCCACAAACCTAGATTTAGAAAAAACTAATATTAAAGGAATACTATAGTCTCTCAGATCACTTCATCTCAATTGAGTGGTCTTCGTGCAGTAGTCTGGTCATTTTGTAAAAGATTGCAGTTTTTTAGGATTAAATTCACCACTAATGGTTGTCTTTCGGACAGCTATTAGAAGTACTTCTTCCTCCAGATTGAGTAAAACTCGGTCTGGGAATCAATAGGGAAGACATCAGCTGGTGTCTTCAAAGGTTGAGCGGGTGCAGCAGAGGAGGCCCGTCACTGGAAAATAGTTGAGTATTCTTTATTTTACCTTTTTTATTAAATGCAAACGGAGGGGAAGAGGCTGGACAGAAGATGAGTATATGGAAGGGAATCTAATAGTTCCGAAATAACGAATTTTATTTTACGGACTATCGGTTCCATTTAAAGTGGCTCTGCTGCTGTTGGGGTCTTTGCATATAAATGCTAGCAACTGCTGTGGGAACCGAGAAACCCTGAAGGCGGAAATAATGACTTGTCAAGTTTTGTTAACTTGAGGCTGTTGTATAAAGAAAACAATTTCTGACTTTATCTTATGATATCTTTTGACTGATTTTGTTGACATTCCAATGTAGTCAATACAAGCATCCCATAAAAGTTTCAATCATGTAAAAAATAATTGCTTGACATGGTCACATTAATAAATTCAACACTTTATTTCCTACTATGAACTTTGAATTGGCTGCTACATATTGTATAATGCCATTGAAAGTTACTGTGAATTGAGCTCTCCTAGCAGACTACTCCAAGCATATTCAATATGTTTACAGTATAGAGAACAGTATTCATAGTATGTGCATGCTATCCTTGTTCAGTGCTTGTAGTAAACTACAGACTGCTTATCCATGTGTCAAATTTCAGTTATATTTAGACTTGGTCATGTTTCAATGGCTATGTTTAAAGGAAAAAATATATTGCTTTAGTTTCACCTACGATGGTAGTTGCCATATTAAGATATATAGTAGGTATATATAACAATGTTGACAATGAACATTTTCCGTGTGAATACCTGCAAAAAATTATTCAAGTCAGCTATGTATTCAGTCCCGCTAATTTGGACAATAATGTGAAAGTGACAAGGACTTCCAAATAATTAGCTATCTCCTTATTTATTTATTTTTTAGGTAATATGGGATATTCGCATACACACATTTACACTCACTAAACACAAAAATCTAAGTGAAAAGGGGATTGCAAAATCTAGACTAAAACAGCCAAGTTGAAGATTTTTTTTTTCAACTCATTGTTACAAAGCAATAGTTTTACAGATATTTTTAGAAACGATATAAATTGAATGTCGGATCACAATTCTAGTTCCTTATTCCATACAAGTTGGTATCCCTGATCTGAATATATTTGTACCTAATTAAAAGTTTTCTGAAAGACCACTTATTGCTAACCGATGAAGATAAGAGTCAGATTTTTTGTGGAAAGAAAATTAAGAGCATATACGGTACTCTAAAATGGTGGATCTAACTAGAAGTAGATCTGAATATATTTGTACCTAAATAAATGTTATCTGAAGGACCACTTATTGCTAACTGATGAAGATACAAATTCCTTAACGGGATAATATAGTTACCAAAACAACTTTAGCTTAATGAGGCAGTTTTGGTGTATAGAGGAGTTTCTAGCCTGCTTGAGCAGAGAAGAGCAGGGTTGGAACTAGAGGACGGTGGCTCATCTTAATGTAGGGTAAGAGGGGCTTGGGGGACCTTCCTGTGTAGAGGCAATGTATTGGATTTGTGGGCAATGTATTAGAATGGATGGAGGGGGCAGTGTATTAAATTGGGTCTGCATGGATGCACTGAACGCAGTGGTTATGGTCTGCTTATACATCGGTGATTTTTATTTCTATTTGAGCTCTTTCCAGGGTAAAAGTTAAAACCTTGCCAGAAAACTTTGATGTTCACATACTCTATGCATTGCTGTGTGACATCGTGCTACACTCTTATATTTGTACACACTGATATATGTACGCCTATTTTGTGTATTTATCTGGTTACGTTCAAAAAAAAGTATAAAAAATATATATAGATCAAATCATAAAAGTGATTAATTTGACTCTGACAATTTTTCATTACTGTCTGTAATTTCAGAGACTTGTGAACCCTTTTTGTCTTCTCTTTCCATTATCCACTTGTCCTTTCCACAAGGGTTATTTAACTAAACACCAAATTGTAGTGGATTTTAATTAAAATTAAATTTTGCAATACATAGGTAAAATGGATCATTTGCAAACATTGACTATTTTTTGCAGAAACTTTGCAAAACTGCTTTTCAGTTGACTTTGTAGTGAATGGACCGTCACATTTCTCCGTCATCACAGTAGGTATACCGTAAAACACACTCCCCAGCTCTTGTAAAACTACAACTCACATGATGCCTTGGCAGGTTTTATGCTTGCAATGCATTCAGGGAATTGTAGTTTTAAAATAAAACACATACAAGCTCCCAGTTGTTGAAGAACTACAAATTCCATGATGCTTTGACATCTTCTGCTCTGGCAAAGCATGATGGGAGGTATAGTTGTAGAACAGCCTTTCTTTATGGGCTACCACCAGCTATAATTTTAATGCAGCACAGTTATGACGTCATACACCGACAGCTCATGGCCCAGGTTGTCTCTGGGCATCAAACCACGCCCCCTACCACTACTTCATGAGAGTCCAAACCACGCCCCCTACCACTACTCAAGACCACGCCCCCGATCAATACTTCCTATGACAGTTCAGACCACGCCCACTTGATTTATTTCTACCGTGTTTCCCAGCATTCACCTGCTTACTGCCTCTATGGAGCCTGGGATGGCAGCTCCCCCTGCCGGTCCACCGCTGTCATACAGCACCCCACTGACATCCAGGAGCACCGCCCGAACCCCCTTAGCCCAAGCTGCCATTGTCAGAGCGAGCCCAACTCTGGAGCTGGAGGGACAGAGTCGGCCTCTAATGACGTCACTGGGGAGCGAGGGATGCCGGTACATGTAGTCAGGAGCCTGATAGTAGCTGTTATTGCTATGAGCAGAAGGTTTAGGATTCATTCATTGTTACATTTAAACACTTATTTCGTTCTTCATCATACAGGTCTTAGGAAATAATAATTAATCATATCTTTTTGTATTGTTTATTGTTTTATTATAATATATATATATATATATATATATATATATATATATATATATATATATAATACACAAGATCCAGCGCACTCACCTATCCACTAAACAGCAACTTCAATGTTGAAAGATTTTATTTGTTTTTTAAAAAACACCTAATCTAGGCAAAAATAATGGGGGTTTAGTTACATTATATGATCATACATTGCATAAGCCTGCCACAACATCAATGTACCCCATCTTTGGCAGGTCCTACACTAACAGCCTAATGTCTGCTCTTATGAGATTAACCTACTTGGGGAAAGAAATTCCATCTGGGGCCCTCTGCAGTACAAGGCTAAATAGGGCCCTGGGATGAGGCACCTGTGACAGGGAGGGGTGCAAAACCAAGGAGTTGGCTAGACTCCCAAATATATATAAAACAAGAGGGGGCTGGCTGCACTCACCTTAACATGCATAAATGGGGGTGCTGCTGGGGGCCAAATAATACAATACACAAGATCCAGCGCACTCACCTATCCACTAAACAGCAACTTCAATGTTGAAAGATTTTATTTGTTTTTTTTAAAACACCTAATCTAGGCAAAAATAATGGGAGTTTAGTTACATTATATGATCATACAGTGCATAAGCCTGCCACAACGTCAATGTACCCCATCTTTGGCAGGTCCTACACTAACAGCCTAATGTCTGCTCTTATGAGATTAACCTACTTGGGGGAAAAAATTCCATCTGGGGCTCTCTGCAGTACAAGGCTAAATAGGGCCCTTGGATGAGGCACCTGTGACAGGGAGGGGTGCAAAACCAAGGAGTTGGCTAGACTCCCAAATATATATAAAACAAGAGGGGGTTGGCTGCACTCACCTTAACATGCATAGTTGCTGTTTAGTGGATAGGTGAGTGCGCTGGATCTTGTGTATTGTATTATTTGGCCCCCAGCAGCACCCCCATTTATGCATGTTAAGGTGAGTGCAGCCAACCCCCTCTTGTTTTATATATATTTGGGAGTCTAGCCAACTCCTTGGTTTTGCACCCCTCCCTGTCACAGGTGCCTCATCCCAGGGCCCTATTTAGCCTTGTACTGCAGAGAGCCCCAGATGGAATTTCTTTCCCCAAGTAGGTTAATCTCATAAGAGCAGACATTAGGCTGTTAGTGTAGGACCTGCCAAAGATGGGGTACATTGACGTTGTGGCAGGCTTATGCAATGTATGATCATATAATGTAACTAAACCCCCATTATTTTTGCCTAGATTAGGTGTTTTTAAAAAAACAAATAAAATCTTTCAACATTGAAGTTGCTGTTTAGTGGATAGGTGAGTGCGCTGGATCTTGTGTATTGTATTATTTGGCCCCCAGCAGCACCCCCATTTATGCATGTTAAGGTGAGTGCAGCCAACCCCCTCTTGTTTTATATATATATATATATATATATATATATATATATATCTCTCTCAAAAATAAGAAAGCTTGGCACTCCTCCCTAATAGAAAAATCATTACTCTGATACCGAGGTGCAAATTAATAATTTGAAAACCTAGTGTGCTCCCTCATACCTCTTTGACTATATATTACACTAATTTAGAGAATAGAGAGTGTGTAAGATGGCAAAAGTTATTATTACTCAAAATCTAGCCTCAAGGTTTTTTTCTGTGCTCTAAATCATTTTATTTTTCTTCATATCTCGTTTTTTCTTTTCTTTTTCAATAGAAGACAAATATAATACAACAATAATGTTACAGGAACATTCCAGTTCCCAGAATCCCTTCATAGTCAAAATTTTATTACAGCATAGTGCCATATTCATATTGTAACGTGTACATTTACAGTCCACATAGTAAGTATTCAATTGATACGATGTTATAGGGACTGACGAGAATCTGACCTGCAGAGAAGCACCAAACAAAGTGCTAAAGAAGAAGCTTAAAGAATCCATAGGTGGGGATTATACCACCCAAGCGCTTATAGTGAGCAGTATATACCTGCTCAAAAGAATGTGAGTAATATTCTTTTTATAATTTTAATACTTTACCGTAACACAGAGCACTATATATTTTATTTTCTTCTTTTGGGTCTGTACTTTGGACGTTGAACGTGTACCAGAGAATCGCCATTTGAAGTCTATTCCATATATCCTTGAGTGGGGATTATTCCACTTCATGCTGCACCCTCACATACACACAGAACCCCCAACACACTGCACCACACACATAAGCACACATTTCCAAATATATATATATATATATATATATACACACACACACACACACACACACACAACACTCTTAAAGGACCACTCTAGCCACCCAGAACACTTCAGCTTAATGAAGTGGTCTTGGTGCTAGGTCCTTCTAGGGTTAACCTATTGTTTTATAAACATAGCAGTTTCAGAGAAACTGCTATGTTTATCAATGGGTTAAGCCTTCCCCCAAAGCCTCTAGCAGCTGTCTCATTGACCGCCGCTAGAGGCGCTTGCGTGCTTTGCATGCAAGCGTCCATAGGAAAGCATTATAAATGCTTTCCTATGCGACCGGCTGAATGCGCGCGCAGCTCTTGCCGCGCGTGCGCATTCAGCCGACGGGGCGGATCAGAGGAGGAGAGCTCCCCGCCCGGCGCTGGAAAAAGGTAAGTTTTAACCTCTTTCCAGAGCCGCAAGGGAGGTTCCTGAGCCAAGCCATATGCATCACATTACACCACAAACACAAACACGCATTAAAACCCACCTTTATTACACAATACCACACCACCTACCAGCTTCACGGCTACACACACGCAATACCACAAGCAGGCTCCAAACATATGCACAATACTCTGTCCTGGCCTTTTGTCTCCTGGTATCCATTTATAGAGACACCAGAGACAAGTTGCAAGGAAACACAGTGCAAGCATGTTATTAAATTTGCTTGCACTGTGCAGAACAAATACAGGACTTTTTTTCTCATGCTAGAGCTTTTCAGCAGAGCTCTGCGCATGGTCTGCCCTGGAAGAGCATAGAACCAACATGCTCACTTTGAGAGGAGGCGTGTTTGTCATTGGTGATGACAAAACACACCTCCTCTGCCCCGCCCCCTTTTTAGTGGGCCGCTGTGTTAAAAAAATGCCCGGGCCGAATTTTTCTCCCAGTCCGGCCCTGATGTACAGCCAGTATCTGAGTGCTTAACCTGGAAAGGTCGAACTTATGAGCTCTCAGACCTGGAGCGTACAAAAAATTAAAACAAAATCCTTTCTAAACTTCTCTATTGCAAATTATTTGGGGGTAAAAAAGCCCTAGATGTAGACAAAAATATCGACTTTGTAAAAGGTACAATCTGATGTTCGACTGAAACACGTTTTTCTAATGGAGTGTTCCTTTTTACCTTCAGTTTACCGACAAAGCTCTAGAAAAGATGGTACCTGTAATCCGGTGACAAATTGGTCTCCTCTCCATAGCAATGCTCCGCCTTTGGGACCCTATCAGTGGCAAGTGGGTCTCCTCTTTGTATGTCCTCTCCACAACTGGTGATGATCTGGCCAATCCAATGGTTCTCATAAAAAGTCCCCTTTATGCCTTGAGTGAGCTCACATATTGAATGAGGAGAGGAATCCTTCACGCTGTCTGGTTGACAGCTGGTACAAAAGCACCACTTTGTCTTGAAATCAACAGATTTATAAAATAATGAATACATTACTATAAGGACCGTACTGGTAGTGCACAGCAAAAGAGAAATTGTGGAACATAAATGTTAAGTCCCAGACAATCAGTTCTATTTTTTTTTCCTGTAGATTGTTTTGAATGTTCATGCTGCACTTCCATCTGCATCCCCTCCTAAAAATGTTGCTTGTGGTTGCAATATGAGGGATATGCAGAGCTCTTGAGTTAATTGAAGACTTAATTGAAGAGTGTGTTTGCATGCTGCATTATTCTGCTGGATATATGGCTTTGAAAGAGGATAGACTGTCCTCAACAACATTAGAGGGCATACAAATAATTGACTTGTATTAAAGGAATACTCCAAGAACAATAATCAATACAACATGCTGTAGTGGTTATGGTGCCAGCGGTGCTTTAAAGCTACATCATTGAATAATTGAAAGGCTTAAAGGAACACTATAGGGTCAGGAACACAAACATGTATTCATGACCCTTTAGTGTTAAAACACTATCTAGTCCCCCTCCCTGCCCCCCTAAATATTGTAAAATCTTACTTTTATTCCAGTCTGCTGCTGCTGGCTTGGCCCCTGATCTGTCTGCTTTATTGACATCATCAGAAGTGTTGAAGTGAGCCAATCACAATGCATAGGAAAGCACTGGATTGGCTGAGAATGTCGAGGAGGCAGATTAGGGGCAGAGCGAGCACAAGCCTTACAATCGGGGTGTGCCAGGCCACTCCTGGCACCACAACCTGTACAGTGTGTAGTGGCTATAGAGCTTGAAGTGTTCATTTAAGGATTCTAATGTGTGCCCCCCAAAAAAGTATATACAATGACACTACCACGACAAGTGGATACAGTTGCCATAAGGCACAATTAATTAATGGACTCTGTCAGAAATTACAGAGAAGAACTGAGCTGCAGACAATAAATGTTTTTGTTATATAAAATCCAGAAAGTGAACAGGATTGCAGTATAATATATGAATATGTATATATGAATTAGCCTACGATTAAAGGACTGGCTTCCAGTAGTGGGCATTAGAGTCTAGTAGGAAAGACAGACTGGAGTCCAATTAGAAGTTTATGCAGCATGCAAGATTGATCCGAATGCAGGAAGCAACGAGGGAATGGAAGGTATGTCATTAAGGACTCATACAGTGTACTCCAGATTCCAAATATATCATCTGCATTTTTTTTTTTTAGAAGAAATTGACATGTCCAATCTTTAATTGTCCAGTTTTGAGAATCATATGCCGTCAACTGCAGGGAGTGGAAACTGCCATTTTGGTTAATTTTAGTATCTGCTGCCATTCTTTCATCTTGGGCTTGGCTTGCCATTCTCCCCTGACCTTTCTTATGTCAAGGTGCTTTTACCAACATCACAAATAAGCACAAGATGCTTTATATTTATCACGCCATTCTCTGTTAGCTCGAGAGACTGCAATAATTAAAAACCCCAGGAGGTCACCTGTTTCTGCAACCTCTTACTCATGTCTGCATGCTTTGTGTGCGCGCTACATAACTCACTATTTGACTATTTGTGTTAATGATCAACTACACAGAATAAAGTTAACAATGAGTGTATATGCATAGAAAATTAAACTAATAAAAAAAATGAGATCTCCTTTGGGCTCTTTCAGATGCACATATGATTTATTTAATTTTTTTAGCAATATAATTCATCCTTTTATTGAAGACTCTTGAACAGTGTTGTCCACATTTCTGATTTAAAACAGTGAGATTACATGATGGATGATTTTTTTTTTTTTTATCTTTTAGGAATATTACCAAACATATTCACCTCTGTTCTCTCCTACATCTCCCTTTTTAATTACTGTCTGTGAAGCAGTCACAGACATTGGTTTTTCCATTTTGGGGGTCATTTTTCCATGCCGTGATCACCTGAGCTACACTGTGTAATGTGCCTTTTGGGCATGAATGAAGTCTATGTTTAATAGTGCGTCCAACCAGCGGCAAATTCTCAAGGCCAAGCTGCAGAAGGCAGCCTTATCAGCCCCAGACACATGCTGAGTGTATTGATTTCTGCTTTCTGTACTCATCAGGACAGGTCGGAGGTGAAACACACCCAGGATCAAAGCAATTTAAAGACTGAGCTGGAGCAGAATGTTAATAGTGCTGAGAATGGAGCTATAATGAGATTGGAGGCAAAAGAGATACCATCCAGGTCTCCTCACGACATGTTAATAATAAGCAACAACTTGTATTAGATGTATTGCCTTCAATAATAATATTACCTTTTGCAATCAGTTATCCGTGCAGACATACCAGGCATAGAATTCAGGATTTTTGGAGAAAATCATTTTAGTGACAAGCTGTCAGGCATCTGACAGGGTTGGCAGAGATATAAGAATTATAGCTGCCTTATATCTTGTAGAGGTGTGAGGTTTGGATGTGTAAGATTCTGCTACATGTAGCCATGGCATCCTTAGAGTTAAACATGGGTTCTACTGCAGAACATTTAAGGAGCGGTTTATATCCTACGTGTTCCTTATGGAGCGCTTTAAGTTATATTTCAGTAATGGGGATCACCCTTAATTTGCTTTATGTAACTTTTTGATATAATTTAATTTCAGGAAACAAACGGACGCACAAGGCATAAGTTTAAGCAAGCATGCAAAATATAGAGAATAATGGAATTTGTATCCACAATTGATTCACATCTTAGTAAATATGTAAAAAGAAGATACATAGATGGGTCCTACTTCACCGACACCCTCTGCCTCGTTGTTATTTATTTAATTTTGTCAGAAAGATTTTGGTTAAGACCACTTTTATCCTTAAAAACTTGTAGTTGTTGTAGCTTTAGACTCTATTAATACTCTGTATCACAGTTTGGTAAACCCCAACATGCAGTGTGTAATCCCATAGAAAACAAAAAAAGTATTACCGAACCTTAGTATGGTCGGGCTTAATGCTGGACATAAAAGAATAGTCAGAGAATACCCATGTAATATAGGATGCCAGAAATTAGGAGAGAGATACAGGAATTGCTGGGTCAGGATACCAGCATGTAGGATAGTCAAGATACAAGCTGAGTCAGGAAACCAAAGAACAGAATAGTCAATAGCCAAGTCGAGTCAATTATACCAAGTAGCACTATAGGGAACAGCAATAACCTTAATAGGGCAAAGTACAAAGCAAAAGGTGCCTTTTTATATGGGAGTGTCTTTGGCTTTAAGGCCACTCCCCCAAAACATTTTGGTTCAGTGAAAATGAAGAAAATTTGCGTCATCAACCTAATGTCGTCAAGCATTGCATCATAAGAAGGGGCATGATCCAACGTCCCGCATGGGACATGCTCATGAGAAAGGAGTCAGGTGCCTAACCACATTGGCGTGCTGGTGAGAGGTAAGAGATCGTGACATCCTGATCTCATACTCTAAGTGCAAACATTTTTACCATCAGTGCCAAGGTAATTTACATCTCGTCGCTTACAGTGAGGCCCCTTCAGAAAATTCATGCTGTGATGGAAGCTCCTGTACTACGGCCTTTTGGAGAGGCTTGAAGTCCAGGCTCCTACCCACGGTCTATGGGCATGATCCCAAGAGCTCCTAAGAGGGGTTATTGTCACTGTGGGGAGGTATATGGGAGCCCTGGATGCTTACTGTGCTGCCCAGCTGGACTTGAGGAACTCTGGGGATCGCCTGTCCTTATATACACCTAAAGCATTTGACCAGGAGATGCCCTGAAACAGTCCGGAACTGTACCTTGGTTCGGGACTGCTCCAAGTTCCTGTAAATCTTTACTGGGCATCTTTCGGCCCCCTGACCTCCAAAAAGAGTGCTATTTTGATGGGAGGTCGGGACAAATGGGGAGGCATCAGAGGGTTCCTGAGACTTGAGTGTGCACCTTTCTCCAGGGGTCAAAACCCCTTTTGTGAGATCGGAACTAAGCCAGAACTCCTTGGCACACCGTAAAGCAGCCGCAACCAAGTAAAATTTTACTCTGTAACTCGGGTGCAGATTCTCCAATCAGGTAGCTATTTGGACAGCAATCTACCATTATACCAGACTATGAGTAAAGGGGGGGGAGAATCTGTGGAAAGGATAATCTTCAAAATCATTAAAAAAAAAAACATAGAAAGCTTCATAATTGGATTTGTCAATTGAGGATAATTGGCAAAGATCTCGCTACATCAATACGTTTGTAAATGTTAGTTAGATGCCTACCACCTTCCAGACAAAGAAAGAACACATCTGGGGGTGGCTTCATTATGCTTGAAAAGGATGCATATCAATCGGTAAGCATTTCCTTTCCCGTATCTCTTAGCCACATTCTTATTGTTAGAAAACTTTTTTTATTGCCTCAAGAGACGTGTTACTGCTCCAAACAAAAGCGTGGGTGATTACCGTATGGGTTGTGCCAAAAACCTTGCACCATTCAGAGTCTACCATACAGAGCTAAACTATTGAATCATTCTGTATGTGACGTTATCAGTTTGTTTGATTGTTTTGGATTTCTGACCTCGGCATGTCCTGATTACTCTTTGTTAGCTGCGTGTACCGACTTATTGGTTTGTTATACCGTCTACTCTAAATTCTGGATTCCATTGACCTTGACCTAACCCTATTTACATTAAGGGCAGCCATTAAAAAGTGGCTACACAAAACAATTCAAAATACTACATTTAGAATGCATACAGAATATGTTTTTTTCCTAGGGTGTCATGTTCTCTCAAATGCAACATAAGCTTGGATAATCACTTTGTCAATTTTATTATTTTGCCATGTGATTTACTGAAAAACTAAATACATGGGGGCACTGTTATATTCGTGAGACAATGTGAAATAAAAATATCGAGGCTTTATTGCACTAACACATATCAACATTTTAATTTTCAGTGAAAATGGAATTAATGTATGTGAAAAAACATAAAAGAAAATATGGCCACTAAATAAATCCAGCATTTGTGGTAAAGTGACTATACCAAACAACTCAAATTACACCATTTGGAATACCCTGGGTTGCCAACTTTTAAAAATGATATGCCATCATAGGGACAGTGTTCTTTCCTGGGCAGCCATACTGTCTCAAAGGTGACATAGGACCAGAAATTTACAAATTGAAAATAATATATTTTGCCCTGTGACTAACCAAATAAACTTGAAACAAATGGTACATGGGGGTTCATGACACAATGTTAAATCAAAATACTGCGCCTTTATTGCACTAACTCATGTCAGGATTATGAAATGTAATGTGATAATGGAGTTCATGTGGGTGAAAAAAAAGCACAAATAAAAGTATATACATTTAACTCTGGAAATATTTGGACACTTACACATTTTTTGCCACCACAATGGATTTGAAATTAAACAATTGAAATGCAGACTTTCAGCTTTAATTCAAGGAGTTGAACAAAAATATCATGTTAAATGTTTAGCCATTTTCATACAAAGTCCCCTTATTTCAGGGGCTCAAATGTAATTGGAAAAATTAACACAATAATAAATACAATGTAAATATTAAATACTTGTCAACAATCCTTTGCAGGCAGTGACTGCTTGAAGTCTGGAAAACATGGACATAACTAAACGCTGGGTTTCCTCCTATGTCATGCATGCCAGGCCTTTACTGCAGTTGTCTTTAGTTGCTGTTTGTCCGTGGGTCTTTCTGCCTTAAGTTTTGTCCATAGCAAGTGAAATGTATGCTCGACTAAATCGAGATCAGGTGATTGACTCAGCCATTGCAGAATATTCCACTTCGTTGCCTTAAAAATCCTTTGAGATAAACTTTTGAGTGTTTTATATTTATTTAATTTATGTTATTGGATCATCTGCCGTTTTAATATTGTTCCTGTCCTGGAAGTAACTCTACCAGCTATCCTGAACCTGAAGGAGCAATATTTTGATATGCAAAACATTTTGGTCCATCTTGTAAGTGCAATTTAAATAAAAGGCGTTTTTACTTTTATTGTGGTACGCTATGTATGTGTCTCCTACTCTCTTTTCCATGTACTAAGGGGATAAGAGAGAACAACAGAAGGCTTCACCTTTTAAAGATACCTTTATGTGCCTGCAATCAATTTTAATCCTGTGAGTGCAATATTATTATAAGCGTTTATAGAGTCTTACAATATTACTATCACATTTTTCTTTTATAGATTGTATATTTTATATATATTATACAAAAGATAAGAATCTTAATTTTTTTGTGTGGTAAATTTCTGTTTTATTTAAGAGATATTTAGCGGTACAGAAAAGAGAGGTGTGTGGTTAGTAGGTTAAAACACGCAAGTTTCGGTGTCGGTATTTATTAGCAAACAGGGTGAGATTCGCAGATCTCTCATCAGGTTGTAAGGGCTAATCTCAAGAGTTCGCTTAACACTTGTGCCCTGGGTTGTTTGTGGTTTTTAGGGCATTCCTATTCTATTATACCTTACATTGTCTATTTGTTCGCCATCCCGCTCTCGGTACCCAATAAGCCCCTCCTTCTCCCCCCCTCTCCGTCAGTTTAGTTAGCGTTTCTCTGGTGTCTGAACATTAAGTTACCTATCTATTCCATCCTGTATGTTGTTGTCAACAGATCCCCAGCACTACTACGTCAGTCATTCGGTCAA